AAAATAACTACCCAAGCCCTTATCTTCTCAGAAATCTAGAATTTAAAATGAAGCATAATCTGACTGTTCCAAGTACTAAAGACAACAGAGTTTAAGTAATATTGGCCTTCAGTAAAAAGCATCATTGAGCTGGACAGCCACCTCATGACCCTTGCTGCATACTTACAACTAAAACAAACCCTGTAATTACAAATGAGTCACTAAGCAGTAACCTCATCACAGGTCACCTGAATCATTCTAACTGACTGCACTCTCAGCTTGCAACAAATACAATAAAATATTCTCAGTTTTTCAACTGTCTTTTAATTAATGCTTTTTACCATGCATCTGTATTCACCTTCAATTAACATAACTTGGTCTTAGGTAACTGAAACCATGTAAGAGCTCTAAAATTTTAAAAGATTTTAAAACATTACTATTAAATTTTATGAGCTTCTGTAATTATGTCAGTTATTTTCAAACAGTATTTCACCTGCCTAAACATTATGAATCCCATTCAAACTGATCTGTTCCCTACTTTGTTATCTACTCCGTAGAAATTAATCCAGTGAATATGAATCTCATATATTCATACAAATACAAGAGATTTAGATTCACACACCTCACTGGAGGTTGGCCTCACATTTGAAATACTAAAACTTTCTCAGAATAATGTATGAACTCTTGATTTGATGAAAATTAAAAACCCCTTGTCATATGTTAACATACAAATTCATGCAAGTACTAAAAAGAAGGGGAAAAAGGAAGAGTAGAAATGAAAGACAAATAGATGTACAATAAGCATTTTTACCCATGGAGCTGCAAACTGTTTTGTGTTGTCCACTTCTTCCATACATCAATGTTTTTCCTCATGGTTCCATCTCCGCTAGAAATGAGGTTGAACAGGAATATATATTATTTGTGGGTAAAGTTTCTTCCATACCCAAAGGACTTACAGTCAAAAAAGTTAACACTCCTCTCCACGGTAACTAATTCCCTTATGCTGTACTTTCATTTCTACACTATCTTTGTTGTTCAGTATGCCAAAGGTAAGTTCAAAATATTTAACACTTGAACTAACCACATTTAAGTATCACTCAGAATGAGAAAAGATCTCCTTGATCTGGTATTCCCTTACCTAAGACAGTTTAACGGATCCAGCTCTTTTGGAATTTAGTATGCAGGATAACACATTCAGTAACACAAAAATTCTAGTACATACAAGATACCTGCAGGGGACGTCACACAAAATCCTGTCGTAGAATAGGATCTCTTTCCTTCCATCCACATCTATTTGTAGATTAGGGATACTGGAGGCATCGTGATTTACCACCATGATACATGGACTGTTTAATCTTTTAGCCTGGTGAACCAGCAAGTAGCAGCGCTTATTATCAACATCATTAGCAATTACAAAACCCTCTGTGAACATAAAACAGGAAAAAGGCTTTACTATTTTAACAGTTAAATATTTACAGTTCATTGCTCATCTTCACATTTGTGTAAGTCTTTTACCAGATATTTTTATTTAGGAAACTATATATGAACAGAGAACACTTTCCTGAACGTAAATTAAACATGGTGAAGTTTAATAACTATGACCAAGATACTGTCAAGATTTCTAACTTCATTGCAGCTGAAAAGACACAGATAAAGTTCCTTCCACTTTTCGTTCTCTAAGTAAAACCCTCGGAACAGAGATAAAGCCTTCACTGCCACTGAAGACAACCTCTGTGCATCAGATGTATAATGCAGAAAGAACCCATCCCCAACCACACAATTTCTATGGATAGTATTTTCTGTGAGCATCTAACTAAATGTAAGTATTTGGAAGTTTAAGCCTGAAGCAACTTCAGTGCTTAGTGGTTTGCAATAAACCGCTAAAACACAGAGGCTGATAGGACACCACCTGCTAAATACTCTTCTTATATATAAAAATTAAGCTGTGATCACATCTACTACAGTCTGGACTGTGAAGATATACAATCCATCTCTTTCCTTCAAGCCAAAGAAGCCCACAGAAGTTTCAAGGAGGAGAAAGAGGTACTTCCCATCTCTTATAATTCAACAAACTATGGAATTCAGTAGGTAGGTAAATGAAGCTGCTTTCTGGGATATTAAAGGTAATCTACAAGAAAACACAATGAAAATTTGAAACCCCAAAGGTTTTTGATAGTTTGTCCAAACTTACTGGGAAAAGGAACGTTCATGTCTGCATGCAACATTTCAATTAGTTGCGCAGTCTTAGATCCAGGTGCAGCACACATATCTAGAATCTATAAACACAAATGGTTAAAAAAGCCAACAAAACAAAACAAGAAACCATACCTGCTATGCACTTGAAAAACTTACTGTGTTCTTGTTTAAGCAGAATAATTATAACCACTGAGGACACTGATAGTCAATAAAAAACACAAAACTAATTCACCAAGGAATGCAGTTTTAACCCAAGGGGCTGAAACAAACATAAGCACATTCATAGCTGTTAGAGTGGGTCCTGAGTAGGGCCACAAAGATGATCAGAGGGCTGGAGCACCTGTCCTATGAAGAAAGGTTGAGGGAGTTGGGCTTGTTTAGCTTGGCAAAGAGAAGGCTGTGGGGAGACCTCAAAGCGGCCACCTGGTACTTGGAGGGAGCTTACAAGCAGAAGGTGGACTGACTTTTTACATGGTCTGGTAGTGACAGGACAAGGGGGAAATAGTTTCTAACTAAAAATGAAAAGATTTAGGCTAGATGTTAAGAATAAATTCTTTATCCATAGGGTGGTGAGGCACTGGCACAGGTTGCCCTGAGAGGCTGCAAATGCCCCATTCCTAAAGGCATTCAAGTCCAGGCTGGACAGGATCTTGGGCAGCCTGATTTTGCCAGCACAGAACATCAGCACTGCCACTGTAGTTTCCAGTTTATGAAGCAATATTCTATGCAGATGCCACATTGTACTTTTTAGTTACCTTGTGATCAGGGTTAACGTTAAGCAGCAGAGGTGGAATCATACTAACAGCCTCCTGACGACTGATGTTTCCCTTTAAAGGAGAAAAAATAAAATCATTCAACAGGAGAAAGCATTTCATTTGTGACAGACTTTTTAAAACTCTGTGAATGAAAATAATGAAACAGTCAAAAACACAAACTCGGCTTAAAACTCAGGGTTAAATGTTAGCACATAAATAATATCTCATCAAGACGAAGTTTGTGAGAACTTCAGAGTTACTCCATCGTCATTAACTCTACAGATCTAATTTTTGCTCAGATGAAATCAGAAATTGACTTCAACCAAGTAAAAGTGAGAAACACCCATCACTAAGGGGATTTTTTTGTAATACACACACACACACACACACACACCATTTACCATATACTCAAACACCTGTCTTTTTAACAAGCGTTAGTTATAATCTGGGGCTGTTCACCTTGGAAAAGGCTCTGGGGAAGTTTCTCTGTATGTAAAGGGCAGCCATAAAAAAAGAAGGGAACAGACTTTTTAGCACGGTCTGTTGGGACAGAACAAAAAGAAATGACTTCAAACTGAAAGATGGGAGAATTAGATGGGATATAAAAGAAAAAAACAACTTTTTGGTGAGGCAATAGTACTGGTTTTCCAGAAAGGTGGCCAAAGCTCCTTTCCTGAAGACATTCAAGGTCAGCCTAGACAGGGCCCTGAGCAACCTGACCTAGCTGTAGGTATCCCTGTTTATTGCAAGAGAGTTGGACTAGCTGACATTTTAGGGTCCCTTCGCACTCAAACAATTGAATTTTGGAGGCATGAGTTCTCACATTCCCAAACCAACAATACAGCTGCTCATCCAGGAGAAACATTCATTACTGTAGGGACGCAGCAGAGGTACAGGATGAATTGCTGTCAACAGCAACACAAAATCCCACTTTTTCTGAGTAGTCAGTTTCTGATGGGTACCGCTGCAATTTCTGACGCTGCAGCACTGAAACAAAAATCTGCCCGGAGTGCAAAAGAAGTACCAAGATCTGAACTTACACACTCCGTCTCGCTAACCAGAAACTGATGAAACCTCTCCAGCTGCGGTGACTTACGCAAGATTTTTCTACTCAGGTTGGTGTGCCACGCTAACTCCTCCGGATACCTGCAGGAGGGAAGGAGAAACCAAAGGCCAAAAGGCTGCAGACCAGCCTGGCACAGCGGATGCAAGGGGCCTGCAGGGCGCCTTGCCCCAGCAGCAGGCTTACCAGCTCAGCGCCTGCGGCATTTCCACCTTCTGCCCGTCGACCTCCAGGTGCTGCAGCTCCCGGAAGTACTTCTCCTTCAGGCAGTGCAGGATCTCCCTGGCGTGGCTGTGAGGCACGGCGCGGCGTCTCAGTGGCCGCTCCCGGCGCGTCCCGGCCCTCCCCCCGGCCCTCCCCCCGGCCCCGCTCACCTCTTATAGCCGGTGATGCGCAGCGTGGCGGGCAGCGGCTCCCGCAGCGCCGCCATGAAGGCGTCCCACTCGCCGTCGGGCACGATGCGCTGCTCCCGGTAGTACCGCTCGAACAGCTCGTTCTCCTTCACGATCTCGGGGTAGCCGCCGCTCCAGCCCTGCAACCAGCGCGGCCCCTTCAGCACGCCGGCCCCGCCGCGGCCCGTTCCGCTCCCGCCCCGCCTCTCACCGCTTGGTCTTCGCCGCCGCTCCGCTCCCGGCGCTGTTGCGGCAGCAGCTGCCGCCGGCGATCCCGCGCCCGGCGGCCCATAGCGAGTAGACGCCTGCCGACCCCCGCCGTCGGAACGGCAGCTGCGGTCCCTCTTAGCGACGAGTCTGCGGGGCGCCGACCGCGCCACGCGCCTCACGTCCACGCGCGCCCGCGAGCAGCGCACATGCGCCGGCCCTCCCCGACCGCTCCTTCCGGGCCGCGCTGCCGCCAGCCCACTTCCGCTCATGGGAACCACCGCGCCGTCGGCCCCGCCCCCCGGCTCCTCCACCAACCCGCGGCCGGCGGGAGGCGGGAGGCTCCGCCCCCCTGCGCTGATTGGTCCGAGACGTCGGTGGGCGTGCCGCGGGCTGCCCGATGGATGGAGGTGACTCGGGGCGTCTCGGCTCGATCGGGCGTAGCGCGACATGGCAGGCGGCGGCGCGTTCTGCGCGTTCTGGCAGCGGGCAGCGGGCCCGCGGGAGCAGCGCCTGCTGGAGCTGCTCTCCTACGGGCTGGTGGCGCTGGGCGCTGTCTCGGCGCTGCTGCTGCGATTCATCCCCATGCCCTACGGGCGCTACTCGTCGCGGCGCTTCGGCTGGCTGCTGCCCGCCCGGCCCGCCTGGCTGCTGCAGGAGCTGCCCGCGCTCCTCGTCCCGTTCGCGCTGGCCGCCTGCATCCCCGCCTGGCGGCTGCCCAACGCCGTCCTGCTGAGCTGCTTCATCCTGCACTACGTGCACAGGTGCGGGCGGTCGGGGCGGCGCTCCGGGGTGCCGCGCGCTGTCGGATCTCGGCGGTATGGAACGGGGCGGCAATACGATAAGGGCTTTCAGCGCAGTGCTGCTTACAGCTGCTGCTGGGCTGGCGGTTTTCCCGGCGCTGAGGGCTTGAGACGGGCCGTGCGTTGACCTGGTGGCTCTGCGAACGGGACTGCGCCTCCGCTCCCCGTCCCTCCCTTCGTAAAAGCATGAATGGCTTTGGAATGGGATCTCGGCGTATCGTTGCTGTATGGGAAAGCTGGAAACAGCGGGCAGATGTTGTGTGGCAACGTCATTTTTCTGATTGCATAACGCTGGTGGGGCTGTTTTGCGGATGGTGGCACACTGAAAGATAGCTCTCGTCGGCTTCGGTTTGTTGTAATGCGGTCGGCTTGGAATAATCCTGTCAATCAATTAATTCCTTATGCTTTTCCTTTCAAACCACTGGAGTTTTGCTTCTTCTGTAAGTAACCGGCGACAGGGTGAGAGGGAATGGGAGCTTCAGGTTGGTTGTTAGGGAAAATTTCTTCTCAGAGCAGTGAGGCTGTGGCACGGGCTGCCCGGGGAGGTGGAGGAGTCACCATCTCTGGAGGTGTTGAAGGAATGTGTGGATGTGGCACTGAGGACATGGTGGGGATGGGCTGGCAGTTGGACTGGATGATCTTCGTGGGCTTTTCCAGCCTAATGGCTGTGACTCTACTGATGCTTTGAGACAGGAGTCCTCAAGTAGCTGGCAGACACCTGAAGAACATTTGTACTTCTGTAATCCCAGTCCTGTATTGTTATAGATCCCAATTAAATCAATACGTGATCAGGAGTTGGCTCGTTGTACGGGGTAGAGCACGTAAGCGTTCACTTGCTTTTCTTGTCTGGAGTTTGTTTGCTCATTTAATCCTCCAGGAAAAGCCATTGGGATTTCTTGCCTGAATGGAATGGCAGCTGTGGATTTGTCATTTCTGCAACAGTTTTCTTGGGGCAGACTGAAACTACCAAAATGAAGCAATTAATATATTTCAAGTGACTTCTAGGGCTAGGAGGCAACAGAGCTCTATTAAGTTACTTCCAAGGGGATTCTCTTTCTCTTTTCTTTCAAAGCCATGAATATTCCACACTTGAAAATCCAACTTCTGTGAATGGTTTCATAGGCCATGTAGATAAAGATGCTGTCAAAACACCTGCTAGATTATCGCATTTTACGATGAAGCAATAGTATAATCTGAGAAACTAAGCAGGTGATTCACCAGTTGTCCTGTGCTCTGGCTTCCCTGCAGAAGTGCCTACAATGTGTAAAAGTACACAGGTGTGCCCCTACGCTTGTTGGTGTGTTGTCTGGTCTAGCTGTAATTATTGTTTTGATTTGTTCTGATGTTTCAGCTCAGCAGTTTCTAATGTACTTGTCCATTTTCTTAGTGTCTTACTCACTGTATGGTGCCTTATTCCATACAGGTAAGGACGACAGAGCTGTTTGTTGCAAGGTATCTTGGTTAGGTGAAGTATATCATCCACCACAATGCCTTTCACACTGATGTTGTCACCTGAAAATCTTGATAGGCTTTGTGTGTAGGGTTTATGAGACCGGGTTCATTTCAGAATGCTTGATTATGGCACTTAAGGTTGAGGAACAAAGCGGGAGAACATTATGTTGTGTTTAATACCAGTTGTCTTTACCACTCCAATCAGAGTAATTGCTTTGGATACGAAGCTCAAAATTTCTGCTGTAAGCAGTCGGGGGAGGACCAATCTCTTAATTCTTGTTAGACAACAAATTAAATATTTAGGTACTGAAGCAAGTGTAACTTTCCATCTGAACAGAGATCAAAGACCGCTGAGAATTTGGCAAGCAGGATATGGTTTATGGATTGCAAGTCTGGACACTGAAAGCATTCTTTATATTTATTTATGCAACAGATTTTCTTTCCTTGTTCATTATAGGGCACTCATATTTCCTTTTCTGATCCGGCAAGGAAAACCGACACCATTTTTCACCTTCCTACTAGCACTTCTCTTCTGTATATACAATGGATACCTGCAAGGCCGAAGCTTAAGCACCTATGCAGAGTACCCTTCAGACTGGTTAAAACGTCCTTGTTTCATTGCAGGTAAGTTAAAATATCCTATGAGAACAGTAGGAGTAGAAATTTCTCTTTATCTTCACAGGTGTTTTTGTTTTGTTTTGTTTTTTTTAGCTAATGTTATAATATCTTCAATCACATTTTAGAATTTTTCTCACAGCATTCAAAATAAGCTTAGTTATCTTGTTTGCCATAGTATAGCTGGAAGCTTTTTAATCCTTTTTTTTTTTTTTAATTTTATTTTTATTTTATAGCTGTGAACTGAGAATTTTTTCTCTAATGTCAGCACTAAGTGAGAGTACTTTGTTCTTTGACACCAAAATGAATAAGAATATATTGTTTCACTATTGTGGTCTTCAGTGGAACTTGCAGTTTACGGGTTTAGAACCATAGATTTTCCACATAACATACTGATTAAACTAAAATTCCTTGTTTTGTGATGTCACAGATATTGAAGGTTTGTACGTGGTCGAAAAAAAAAAAAACAATTTTATGGAGTTATGGTAGTTGATGAATTGCAGCATACCACTTATAATGTCAAAAGACTCTGTCGTAATACGGATGTACTTTGTTGAAGAGCAAAACTGCCCCACAAGGATAAGTTGATGGGGTTGATCATTCAGCCCTATGGGGAGGTTAGTTACTCTTGGAGCCAAGCATGTAATTAAAAGAGTAAGATGACCTCATTGCAGCCTTCCAGTTCCTAAAGGGAGCCTACAAATAGGAGGGGAGTCAACTCTTTATAAAGATAGATAGTGGCAGGACAAGGACAAGGACGAAAGAGAGGGAAAATTTCAGCTGGATATTGAGGGGAAGTTTTTTACCAAGAGAGTGGTGAGGTGCTGGCACAGGCTGCCAAGAGAGGCTGTGAATGCCCCTTCCCTGGAGGTGTTTAAAGCCAGGCTGGATGGGGGCCCTGGGCAGCCTGGTCTAGTATTACAGATGGAGATTGGTGGTGTTGCATGTGGCAGGTGAGTTGGTGCTTGATGATCCTTGAGGTCCCTTCCAACCCAAGCCATTCTGTGATTCGACGTTTGCATGCAGTATTCCTTGCCTTATTTTTTGTTTCCTAAGCATCTACTTTTACCTACTGTCAAAAATAAAACCATTTTCCAAGGTAGTCTTTAAAGAAGGGTCTCTGTGGTCTGAAGATAAGCCAGAATATTTTCTTTTCTAGAGTCAGAGCAAGTTAGTGTTTCTCGCAGATTTCTCATGCCTTGTACAGCAAAAATAAGGAAGCTTGGCCATTCCTGCAGTGTTATTGTGGATGGCAACAGAGGATCACTGTGCTAAATGCTGTAATGACTGAGATTAATCTATTTAAATTTCTTCATCTTGTGAAGATTAGGAAGAAGTACTGTATGTGCTCTAAAGATGGAAAATGTGAGGTACAAGGGAATAACTTCAGTGGGAGGTAGGCAGCTAGATAGTTGTATCTGAAACTCTCTCAGTACTTTTGAAACTTCAGTCTCCTTACATTTGGTTCCAACAACAACAAAAAAATGATCCAAAGATCAGCTGATCAAAACTGGTAAAGACAAGTGCAATACAGAGTATAAAACTTCAGCTTCCGGTATTCTAATCCAGTACCTTAATCAAAAGGTGATCTCAATGCAGTGCTGTAAACATGAGTCACGAGGCATAAATTAATGCCTCCTTACTGCAAGATCTTTTAAAATGCTATGTGATAAGCCTTGCTTGATCTTCCTTGTTTGTTTTTTCATTTTGTTTTTTGTTTTTTTTTTTGAATGCTCTTTTTTCAAAGATTTCTTAAAGATACAAGTTAATAAATAAAAATATTTAGGTTCAGCTGCCTTCAGTTGTGAACGTTTCCATATACGAATTTTGTTTGCAAGTAGTAGTAGTTTAGAATATATTTTTGTATGTATTTCCTGTACTGCTAGTCATAAGAAGTGTTGCTTTAATGACTATAAGAACACCTTTTAAGTCAAAAATATTGCTTTAGAAGGGAAGATGAGGGGAAAGTGGATATATTTCATATACTTTGCATTTCATTGTAGTGCTGTCCCTCAGTATATCTTATATGAAGTTATATGAGGAACAGAAATGGCCATGTGTCAGTATGCAGCATGACCAATTAAGTTCTGTAACTGAAACCTGAAATGAGATAAATTTGCCATGAAGACAGAAATTAGGAAAGGTGAGGCTAATTAACCACAGTAGTGAGAGTTTGCAAGGAACTGATGTGTTTTCTATTTGTGCATCCTTACTGAGTGTCTGTTTGCAGGTGTTTAAGAGTTCATTGGTTTGGAGCAGTTTCATAGTTTTTAATGCAGTTCCCATGTTTCCATGATTTCTGATTTCTGTGAACTGTGTTGGCTTTGTTCAGAGCAGCGAACTAGTCTGTTTTGAAAGAAAATAGGAATGTTCTGCTTCAAATGCAGTACAAGACTTGATAAAACCATTGAGATGCAGAGCAATGTGGGAACAACATTGTGATCCTTAAACATATCTCTCATGCCAATAAAGAATTTGTGAAAAGCGGGAGCACTCATGGTACCTTGAAGTGGTTGATGCTATTAACAGGGTCCTATGCACCTGCACATGTAATCAGTCATCTGCAGACAGTCATCCCCTTTCACACCAGTGTTCTTTCTTAAGCTGTGTTCAGTTGTGTCAGTAAGTCCTTCCTTTTGTGCCTTGCTTTAGCTTCATCAAACTCTTGCATTATACCTTATGCTGTTCTAATTATTTTAAATCCACATTCAATTGCTTTCTCATGTTGACAACTAGCCCTGTCTGTCAGACAACACATTTCTACTCTGCTCTATACACAGAGTAGCCATGGAAAGAGCATGGGCAATGCCATTATCTGGGTCCACGGAAGCTGACGTAGCTGTTGTGTCTATACAGCAACTTGCTTTACGTATTCTTGAAACCTGGAATGGGGAGGTGAGTCAGAAGGCACTTACCATGCTGTCACTCTGAAATAGCCTGCAGAGCAGGAGTACATTTTTTTGGAAGACAGATCCTATGTGGGCAGGGGTGATTGGGAAAACAAGAGCAATGAACACGTAGTAAACAGGAAACTGTCCTTCTTATGCAAGTGTTTTAGTATTACATGAAGCCTTAATTTCCAGGTTTAATACTGATGGATGAAAAAATCCTCTTGAATCATAGAGTATCCTGAATTGGAAGGGACCCATAAGGATCAACAAGTCCAACTCCAATTCCTGCATCATGTGTCTTGAGAGTCATCTGTATTTCACAGTGCATCCTGTGGATCTGAGAACCTACTGATGTACACTGACTCCTTCCTGTTTACCTATCAAGACTTACCTTGGGCAGAAGCCAAGTCATGCAGATCATGGCCCAGCTCTTAATTTTGTAGAATGGAGTCTCAAGATTCAGCCATGATGAGGACATGAGAATATGGACAGTAAAGTACAGTGCTCCCAGAAGGCAGCATTCTCAGAACTGTAGTTGCATTTCAGAAAAATTAAAGGATCTTCAATTTTAGAATTTAGAATCAGCATAGTACTGATTAGAACTTTAAGTATAGAGGTTTTTTCTTGTGTTAGTACTGGATTGTATTAGTAGAAATACTGTTTACACTTGAGTAGAATCAATTTGTGTACTATTCAAGAAAATTGATTTCAAATTACTGTATGGATAGAAATAATGATACGCTTATCTAATAGTACAAATAACATCCCTTATTTTTCAAGGTATGTTTTCATTTTCTTTTCTGGCAATTATCAAGTTGGTACGTAGCCACCAGTGCAAGAGAAGCAAACATATTTTATACTTAGAGATAGTAGGAGTTCAATACCCTCTGTTTGGATAGAGATTTATTTTTGGAAGAAAAGACATTCAGATGATATGCTTTCCTAAAAACATTTGAGTAGCATTTGAGTCGCTCTGTACTTTTGAATTTGATATTTGAATTCATCTGTGAATTCCTCATGTTGATCTAATATATTGGCATCTAAGCTATCTTGAGTAATTATGTGGAATTTACAATTGAGAGGGTTATGATAAATTTTAGTATAAGACGTATAGCATTTACAAAGCTTGATTAGTAATGGAAACTTCCTGCTCTGTGCTATGAGTAAGAAATGTGCTTATTTACAGGTCTACATTCTGCTTGTAGTGTAAGCAGCCTGTAACAAGCCAATCAAGCAACGTTTTAAACTTACTGAGGTAAATATGGAAAGGACTTTCACGCAGCAACTTTATCTGTAGAGCAGTCAGATCCTTCTTAATCCACATGGAAGCAGGCAGCTAGATCTCTTTGGTAAACATCACCAAACAATAGAAAAGAAAGCTGACAATCAAACAGCTAACAGAGATTCTACTGTTTTCTCTGTTTTGAAAGAGAATCGTCTGAAAGACTTAACATATTACCTTTACACTCAAAAATTATACCTAGAGTATGAAGTGACTTGGCTTAGAATCATCAAAAGTAATGCCTCTTACTTACTTCCATGGAAATACAACAGATACAAAAATACCACTTAATTGAACAAATTCTTAGCTACGAAACAGTATTTTGCAACCCAGTCACCAGCATTAGCTGTGCTTTTTTTTTTTTTTTTTTTTTGCCACAGTGAACAAGAGCTTGCATGCCATGCTTATAATAATCTACCCCAACAGAGGTAACCTGTTGTCCCCCCTACTGAGATGCACCACCCATCCCTCACTGTGAATGCATCCACTGTTTGGTCTCCAGAAACATTCAGCAAGTGCAGATGAATGTCAATGGGTGCAATTTTTTCTGCATGGAGGAATTCATTGACAAACTTTTGCTCTGTAGGCACTCCCATGTCAGACACCATTCTGTAAGACTGCCCCTCTGCTGCCATCTGTTGTATGACAACAAATTGTAATAGAATATTGATGGGAAGGTTCATTCTTTACTGGCATCAACATCTGTCTCTGATGTCATGGACCAACATAATAAAAAGGCACTGCTTTCAGAGCAGCCCTTGTGCTTAGTCCAAATAAAATTCAGTATTTTTGCAGGTGGGTTCAATTCAGTTGGCCTGTGTGGAAAAATTTGAATCTTGTCTATTCCCAGCAACAAGAATACTTTTATCAAAGATGACGTGTAACCAGAGATTTAAACAGAAAGATGAAAACTGTGAATTTCAATCCTAGATTTTTTTGGTATATCATGTGCTTTATTGCAACAAAACCTGAGGATGCAGAACACTGTAACCTTTATTTCTATAAAAACTTGGATTGAGTGGTTAAGCCATCCTGCTGTGTGACACAAGATAACAGTAAATAGGTTGCATCAAGCTTAGAGTTTTCTTGGTTTTCTCAAAATGTGTTCTTGTATCAGGGCCAGAAGTTCTGAATCTGAGGGATCAGCATTCATGCCTGTTGCTGGCAACTGTGCTCCTCAAGGTAACAGGAGGAATGGTTCTGTATTTTCAGTCAATAAAGACAAGTTGATTGGTGCAGCTAAGGCTGGAAGGCAATCTCTTCGTGGTTAATATGAAGTCCATTATGATATCGATAAGATGATTAGAACGTAACTTTCCTGGAACTTTGTTTAGATACTGTATAGAAAGGTCTGGTCTGACTATAGGTGTTTCCCTTCAAAGCAGCATGCTGCAAGATATAAATGGATAGCTTCTCAGAATTCTTCTCACTGGACTTCATAGGCCTGCTGTTAAGTTAGAACTGGGATAGGATACATCTCACTTTGCAAGTATTTCAAACAATGTTAAAGGATGCTTGTTTCAAGCTGGCTTTCAAAAGGTTTACAGCTTAATTTGTGGTTACAGATGAAACTTCGTAGAAACTGTATTCCTGAGAAAGCTGCTAACAGCTTCTGTTCCCCAGTAGCTGCAGTGATAACAGCCGGTTAATTATTGTTGTCATTGAATTAAAATGTTGGCAGATCTTTTAATGAATGGCATGTGCATAAAGCAAGTACAAACAAATGGTCTTTGATCTTGCAAAATGAATTCCAACAGCTGTGTGAAGGCAAGTGTTTGCCCTCATGGAGGCCTTTGAGGTTTGTGTGGATTAACTTATCAGACCAAATACATTGATAAGATTGACACACTAACAACTTAAAAAAAAAAAAAAAAAAATTGACTAATGTAAGATGTTGTGCATGGTTTCCTTTTTCTTAATGTCAAGCCTGTCAGACTCCTCAGTTAGTTTCTGTTCAGATAGTTGAACACCCAAATGACTTAGAGCTGTTTAATGAAACCTTGTAATTAGGTTAATGCATTTTTTTTTTACTGTATACCAACCATCTTTATCCCTTTTGCTAGTATTACCAAACACACACTCACGGCAAGTCAAATATGGGGGGGGGAAGGGGGGGGGGAAGAAGAAAATCCCAATTAAGTGCTAACTAAGCATGCTTTTTCTTGCTTTTCTGTCTTGTAGAAGCTAGATCACAACTAAAGCAATAAGTTACTCTGAAATCAGTTATCTTTGTTCTGTGGATCTTTGAATGTGAGCAGTATTAAGTTGTAGAATTATCAAATTTGTAGAGCGTTTTGCTCCTTTTGTCTGCCTCTCTCAGCTCTTTATTTCGCCTTCACAATAAGTCACAGAATATCCTGACTTGGAAGGGCCACACAACAACCATTGAGTCCAACTCCTTGTTCTACATGGGACCACCTAAAAGCCAAAACCTTGTCTGAGAGCATTGTCTAATAAATAGTTTTTGAACTCCAGCAGCATGGGGCTGTGACTAGTGCTCTGGTGAGCTCATTTCAGTCCTCAACCACTTTCTGGTGAAGAACCTAAGGAAGCTGTAGGCCTCCATGAGGCCTTCCCTCAGCCTCCTCTTCTCTGGCCCGTAAAAAAAACCAAACAACAAAACAAAGAAAAACAACACCAAAGCAGGGGACCTCATCTGATCTTCACACACCTCCCCATCTCTGTAGCCCTCCTTTGGATGCTCTCTAATAGCTTTATGTCCTTCCTATATTGTGATGCCTGAAACTGCCCGCAGTTTTATGCAAATTGGGTCTTAGCATTCATTCTCTGTTGCACTTATCTTAGAATAAATTTCTGGTTTTGATTGCAGAGACAAATCTATTACAACCTGGTACTGAATTTGAGAAATTATGGCAGAAGTTCTTCCATAATCTTAAACTGCATGGTTTCCTTTTTTTTTTTTTCTCCATGTTATTTGGTGAATAATTTCAAGCTCAGAGTTTGTTAATGCTCAACAAGACTAGGTTTAGCAAGTTCCTACCCTAAACTTCTAGGAGCATGAATCTTTATTAGTCTTGCATCAGAATCTACTATATTTTTTCATTCCTATTAATTACAAAACAGTCTGCTGCAGGAACTTTGGCATATTGTCATTTAAAAAGAAGTCTGAGTTGTGTCATTTTACTAGGAATGAGAATGACCAGTTTTCCACATTTAAAATGTTGATGTGTTTGGTTTTCTATACTGAAGTTAGAATAATACATATGTGTATGTACGCATGCATACACATAAATGTGTGCTTATTTTTGTCTATCAACCCGAGAATAACACTTTATACTTAAAATAGTGTTTCTGTCAAGAGACTGGTTGATTACTACAAGCCTTATTTACCCAGGAGGTCTTTGTGAGACTGGGATTGTCCATAGAGTCACTAGAACCACTTATAGTGCTTTACATTACTATGTTCCAACTGCTTTGAGATAACATGCCTCGTATGTTATCTGTTACTTTGTTTTCTGATTATTTTCACTCAGTGTACTGTAGACTAATATTCTGAATATTTCTTTTCAGGTTTCATGGGGTGGCTGATCGGCATGGCAATCAATATTCATTCTGATCATATCCTTAGAAATCTGAGAAAACCTGGAGAAACTGGTTACAAGATACCAAGAGGTAATAAATAATCTATATAGCAAACAAAGCATTTTTCAGGAGGAGTTCTGGGGCTGTTCAACCTGGAAAAGAAAATACTTATGATGATCTTATCAACAGATGTAAATACCTGATGAGAGGCAGTGAAGATAAAGGAGCCGGGTTCTTCTTAGTGGTGCCTGCTGACAGGCAAAAAGGCAACAGACACAGATGAAAACACACGAAATCCTATATGAACACACAATTCTATTTATTTTTAAGTGTGATGGTGGTCAAAGAATATAGAGCAGTTTGCCAAGAGAGAGTCTGCAGTTTCCATCTTTGGAGATGCTGAAAACCTGACTGGACATTTTTCTGGGCTTCCAGCTCTAGTTGACCCTGCTTGAACAGGGTAGAGTTGCACTAGGTGACCTCAAGAAGAATCTTCTAGCATAAATAGATATTCCAATCTGTAAATGTGATCTTCTAAAGCTTGGTATTATCTTTTTAGAGGTAATAAGTTATGATTTGAGAAGAAACTTGTAATAGCAGTTTGTCAACCTTAGGAAGTGGCTTCTTAGAGTTCATATTATTTTTTCCACCAAGAAGATAATTTTATCTTTACATGGGCATTTGGATTTGCATCTACTGCTTATGAACACTACTGTGCTGTGAAATGTTCAGAAGGAAATAAGATGTTCATTGCTGCTTGATCAAGAGAAGTTGTTTTTTTGATATTACTTATCCAAATCAAGCGCTGGAATTCTGCTTTTGTTTTGTCACAAAAGCAAAGCAATTAAAGCAAGGTCAAAACATGTCCTTTATTAGAGTTGGCAAATATTTGTTTGTTTGGTCCCATTGGCACGGTGCTTACTGTGATGTCAGTTTGTATGCTAACTTTGGAATTAGGGTGAAAGTTCTTACTTTATAACTCTCCCATTGGGTGAGTACTGACTGTTTATGCCAAGTTGGCCGTAAAATATACCTAACACAAACTGATAATTTTTATTTTGTGAGGGTCAGTGTTGAAGTACTTGCAGTTAAGGTCTTTCTCTACGCTTGACAGGATGCAAGAACAAAAGGGCAACACATATTAAGCTAGAGGATAAATTTGCAACTTGGATTTTGAATAAGATTTTTTGTCATTTACCTGAGATGCATCATTTCTCCAATTTATTGAAGTATTGTATGCTAAAGAACCATAGGGATATTTTATGAGACTATTTAAAAGGGATTACTTTTTTATTTTTGTTTATTTAAAAAAAAAAAAAAGTTCAGTTCATGGTCAGTGCCAGCTTGATGTCACTGTCAGTGATTTAAGGAGGCATGAAATCACTTCTGTTACTAAGTGTATTGGCTTTTTTTTTCCCTGTGATTTGTAAAGGATAAATGGAGCTGGATAAGAATGAAGACTGAAGCAATCCTACATAGTACAGCCTGAACTGCAAAACACTGTTTCTACTGCTTTAAAAAATATACAAAGAGACACTGATGATATGGGTGGTCTAAGACTTGCAATAAAAATACCATCAAAGATCTCGTTGATTAACGTGCTTTTAAAGTAATCCTGCCCTTTCTGCCTTTAGGAGGAATGTTTGAATATGTCAGCGGAGCCAACTTCTTTGGAGAGATCCTGGAATGGTTTGGATTTGCTCTTGCCTGCTGCACTATTGAAAGCCTTGCATTTGCACTGTGTACGCTTTTCATTTTGGGTTCAAGGGCAAAGCAACACCACCAGTAAGTGTTTGTGTCTTATAATTTTTGCTGTTCCACACTTCATTTCCATTTCATAAATTATACCACAGAGATGTTGCAGAACAAGTCTAGTGAAAAGCTGTTACTGCTGTGGAAAATGAGAGAATACTCTGAGAAGTATTAAACGCGACAAGATTTCAGTAGGGTAGTTAAGCATAAGCGCACATCATACAATGAGATGGTCATGGCTATTCATTAAATGAATGTAGTTCATTCTGGACCTGTGAAGACCTACTTTGACCTGCTCATAACCTCACTGCTATACCAGGTTGCCCAAAGCTTCATACATTTGAGTTCAGAGTCTCTCTGAGGACAGAGATTCCAGCACATCTGAGGAAAAATATCTTGTTTGAGTGCTTTGCCATTCACATAGGGAATAATTCTTTTTCCTTATGTCTGGCTGGAATTTTCTGTGATGCAGCTTTTATCCCTGTTTCTTGACCATTTTCTGCACATATGGCTCTGTCTTCTCTCTAATATCATTGTGGAAAGTATGTGACTGCAATTAAATGCCCCACTTAAACTTCTTTTCTCCAAGGTGAGCAAATCTAGTTAATTCAACTCTTCCTTGTGTATTGAATGTTCCAGCTACGCAGCTGTCTAAATGACCATCTGCTGAACTCTTCCTGAGTTTTTGGGCATACTGAAAGTCCAAAATCGGATGTGGTAATCTAGATATAGTTTATTGACTGCTGAATAGTGGTGAATAAGCACTTGCCTTAACTTGGGGCTTTATACGTGTTAACGCACTTCAGTATGCAGCTAGCTATTGTCACTGCAAGGATCCATCATGTTGAACTTGATGTTCAACTTATAGAACTCGATGTTCAACCTGTCCACCAGAATGTCCTTCCCTTTTTGTGCAGAGCTGGTACCTAACTAGTTAGTCTCTAGTCTGCAGTCTGGCATGAGGCCATTGCATCCCAGCTGCAAGGAATTGCATTTTCTTTGTGGTTTTCACTCCATTATCTTAGGTCTCCTGTTCCAGTACTTATATGCAGAAATAACCCTGTGTCCTCTTCCTCAGCAGCCCAAGTGGTGAGGAAGGAACCAGTCAGGTTCTTCAGTCTTTCCTCATGTATTATGTTCTTTGGACTCAAATTCCATGGTTTGTTTCTGTGCATCTTAAGCCTTGGTAAAACTCTTTCATGTTTTTGTAATTAGAGTGTTATGAAAAACCCTAAAGGTTGTTAAAGGAATTAATTTGCATTAAGGGAATCGATGTTTTTTTTTGTTTGTTTGTTTTTTAATAAAAGGAGTAAAGGGGGAGAAAAAAGCAAAAGCAAAATCAGCAAATCTAAGCAAGTTTCTATTTTACAAACTTGGAATAAATTACTGAAAAGTAAGATAATATATAATACTGTAATGTTGATGTCACACAACTGCAGGTAATCATGCAATGCATGCTTTCTATAGAAGTCACAGAACTTCCTCTTGTGTGTCACTAGGCAAACAGGCAATGTGCACTTATTCAGTGTTGAAACTGTAAGACAACAACATTAAAATCAGTTGTGCATTATTGTGAGAGTTTCATTCTCTGCTTATTCCAAGTTCAGTCTTTCAGTTAATTTCTGTTAATGTGAACACTTACAACTTTGAGGAGCCCAGATTACTTAACTTTTTTATATATTAGAGAAGCAGAAGTACTTGAAAATAGGAGTAAATGTGTTTGTCATAAAGTGATGTAATAGCATCTATTAGTGTAATGTGGTCTGTTTGTTTGTTTGTTTGGTTTTTTTTTTTTTTTTTTTTTTTTTTGTAATTGTCTGGTTGTGAAAATAGTAATAGTTGTTGAAGGGAACTAGTAAAGCTACTATAGTGTTTGACTATGTGAGCTCTGACTGGAATTGAGTTTTTCTATCCAGAACAATGTGTTGATCCAATGTGTAAAGTATCTCATGCTTGCTTATGTAGTCATTATAAAATTTGACTTATTCCCTTGGATATTATTTTTTCCTCTGCTTCTAAAATACAAATAGGAATCATTACAATATACATTTTATTACAATAGGCCATTCCTTCCCTGGCTGCTCCATCCCACCTACTAGTTTGATTAGTGGAAGTGGTAGCTTTGTTATACCTCACAATCAGATTTTCTTAGGATGAGTGTGGTAAATAGCAGTTTTCTATCCAGAGTAGGTTCTGAAGACATTTTTTTCTGGCTTGTATTCAAAAATACATATTGATTAAATTGAATGCATTGTGCAGTTACTTAATTTCCTTGAAAGTATTTTGAAGATGCAATACTCAACAGATTTGTACTTTTCTTTTTTTTCAGATGGTACCTTGAGAAATTTGAAGACTACCCAAAGAACAGAAAAATTGTGATTCCATTTGTGTATTAGTTTATTATTTAAATACCATCAGGTTCTGATGGTAGCAGCATTTTTAAATGGTTACTTCTTGGAACAAGTAACACTTCACGAGTGTTACCCAGCCAGTGTATTCTCATCACTGTGACAAAGCCTTTGTATCAGTACTGTTAGTTACTGCTTTTCCTTGTAATGAAAACCCCAAACTCAGTGGGCATGGTGAACAGGAACAGAAGTGCTTTTGCAGTGGCACATCACCACCGTGAGTATGTAAGACAAGGCATCTGAATTCATACCATGGAAACTGTTGTACGGGATTTCTCATACGTCAGTTTCAGCCTATGGTTTTCTGGTGTTCCCATCTGAGGATTGTGCTATAACAGTCACCCTCAGTGTATAATCTGGCTGCTGTGTTCAGTTTTCTACTTGTCTACATACACCAGTGGGATTGATTTGATCACCTTTCTTATTCTTTCTTCCCTTTGCCCTCCATTTCCAGGAGATCAGATGCAGACCAAAGACATTAAATGAATACAGATACTGTGAGATGAGAGATGTTCTTCATCTCCTCTGCACTCCTGTGCAGATATGAACAAAACAGGGATAAAACTTACTGCTGTTTACATTGATAGCTATAGTGGTGCCTTTCCCAAATGACTGATTTTAAACATCTACCTCTCAAATTTCATAGCCATCTCAAATAATACTCAACATGTGTTTTCTGCTCAATATTATTTTAGAGGACATTATTTATAAGGGATAAATTGTTCTTTTTAATAATCTGTAGATTTTGCTTACTATATAGTTTTTTTAAAAAAGCCTTTTCCTATTGACAGTGAGCTAGATTATTTTATATTTAAAAAAAATGGAAAATTATAAGGCTTGTTTCTTGTTTTATCAATATTAGTTCTTGCTCAGATATATTTTTATTCTAATGGTCTCTGGTGGTATTTTAAAGACACAATGGGATCTCGGGCATACTGACTCTTGTTTGCACATATTTGTGTCCTTTGCATATTTGTGATATTCAGTAACTTTAGAATTGGAGAAAAGTCAGTTTTTCTGCAGAATCCTTAAGGGGAAAAAAAAAGCTCTCTGCACATGTACTTGGGAAATCTTTCTTCAGGACAAATTGGTAATATAATTTCACTAAACACTGAGTTTTCCAGTATTCCATCAAGCTTTGTTCAGAGCTCAATTTTTTTTTTTTTTTTTTTTTTTTTTTTGGTATGAATTACTCTACTCCCAGAGAAATCAAAGTAATACAAGGGAAGAACTTTTACCTTAAATTTTTTTAGATTAGATATATATATAGATAGATATTTTAAATATATCCAAAAGTGAAAAAGTGCTGTGCTACCCAAACTTCTGCTTAACAGTAGTTTCTTCCTACTCTCCTTGGCGCAGTACTTAGTGCACTGAATCCTTGGCTATCATTATGGGTTTATTCAAGGGTATAAAGAAGTGTAGCACATTCTATTATTATTGAGTGAAATAGTCAGAGAAAGGAGAGGAGCAAAACTGTCATTCATGTTGCAATGATAACCTAAGCCATCAGACTGTCAGCTGCTCTTCATAGTGATTATGACCAATAATGCTCTCTTCCAACATCCAGGAAGCTCAGCTGAGGGAGAATCTAGGAGTACCCATTCCTTTGAAGCCAGTGTCTGTTGGCACGGCTTGATTCTCAAATTGTTTAATCTCTTAAAAAAAAAAAAAAAAAATGTTTACATCTTTTCCTATATATTTTTGTTTTTGATCACACTGTAATATCACAGTCGATCTTAGCTGTTTTGATCACTTAAAGTGTAGTCGGAAGAGAATTTTAGAGACTGTCTTATATATCCAGGTATTTGTAAGCCCTGTTACATCCTTGTGGCAGTTCTTAAATATGGGTATCTAAACATTCCAGCTATCAGTATCCCTTTTAGAGGAGCAAAATGCATCAACATCTAATCTAAGTGTTTAAGTACTTGCGTGGTTATCAGTGAACTAATATTTGTATTTTTGGGTTTAGTTAAAAAAGCACTAATGCTTTTTTACAAACAGTAACAAACAACCAGTAAAAAAATGACTTGGCTACAGCAACTTCATCTGTAATCCCTCCTTGTTTACTCCTTCTAATGAAAAGGTGAAGATTCAAGAGATGTGTAACTATTTATAGGTGGTAGTCTTCTATTGTAGTTCACAGGAAATTTCTACTGATGCATCAGTTTTGCTCTGATTCTATGCTGCTAAATATTTATATTGATTAAAAGTTTAGCTTATTTCGCTCAGTGTTAATTTATGGTTTGCCTGTAGCAGAGTGGAGATCTGAGACACATGGTCCTCCAAGGAGCTTACTGGTGTTCTAGTTAACTGGAATATTAAAAATAAAATGTAAACAAAGAACAATCTTCTGCTTTTTTTATGTTCTAATTACACTGCTTTAACCTGCCACAACTGAAGTACAGAACTGTATTTGAGGCAGTTTCTTCTCACACATCGTACAATACAACAAGGTGACCACCACTGGTGAAAATTATACAATCATTCTGGGCAAATTCTAGACCTTTTATTTGAATGCTGTTCCTTTTTTGATTGTAATACTTCATTTGTACTCTCCTCCCATTTCGGGATCTTTCCCAGAATTTATCTATCTGTGAGAGAATATGATATTGAGAGGTTTTTCTTGAAAGAAAACAGTGTAAAAATGAATTCTGGTTTGCTGTTTCCAGAAGGAGGAAATGTGTATGCTCCTTATGAGGTAGTAGTAATAGCTATCATAATTTCTAACAGACATCTCTACTCACATTACCTGCATCTTTCCCAGAGATCCCTACTCATAAAAACAGTTTGTGGCATCTGGCTTGATTACTTTACTGTTAGCAGTCCTTGTTCTAACTTGTGGAGGGTGACCAAGACTTTTGTACCTGTGAGTTCATTATCCCAAATAAGATCCTGAGGACTGTAGTAGTAAAGTTGTATTGGAATAACTGCTATGTGAACTGGACCATATACATTCAAAAAAACCCAACCAAACAAACAACAAAAAAAACCCCCACCCATGTAGAAATCACAAGATAAATTTCTATATAAAGATATACAAGATGAACTTATATAAAACAAAATATGTAACTGATGCTCTATACTTGCATATAACAGTGCTTCCCATTACCAAAATCTAGTTTACTACAAGTGAGCAAGAACTGGATGCCATGTGGAGCCAGGACTTATACTGGTATGAAGGTGGCTCTGAAAGGAAACCCTCTGAGAAAAAGCCCAAATTCCTGCTGCTCTCAGCTTTTCTTCATAGCTCCTGATGAAACAGGAGTTTATGCAAGTTTTTAAAAATAAGATTGTGCAATAAACAATTGTATTGCACTTGTAGGCAGAAGTCGATTGCATTCAGTAGTTTTCTTAAACTGAACCTGTTGCACAATATTTTGGAAGGGAGACATTTCAAATCTTGATTAATTATTACTTTTAGAAGGATTATTAGCAGAAGTCCATAAAAGTGAAGTAGTTTGTACTTTCTTTCCTAATTCTTTACACTAGATGAGTTGCCGCTACAATAGCATTCACTTCTAGTTCAATGTAGACAAGTCATTTGCAAAATGTAATCTTATTTGCTCCTGTATCATACAATCATAATCACAGAAGGGCCCGAGTTGAAAAGGACCACAGTGATCATCTAGCCAACCACCAGACCAGGCTGTCCAGAGCCACATCCAGCTTGGCCTTGAATGCTAGACCACAACCTCCTTGCGCAACCTGTTCCAGTGCGTCATCACCCTCTGTGTGAACAGGATAGCTGGGCTTCGGAGCATGCAGAGCAGCTGATAGTCCATAGGAAATATGAAGTCTGGGTATCACAGCGTTAATCCTGCTAATTTTCCTGAATGTTCTTATTTCATATACATACCAAAAGAGATTTTAAAAAAAGAAAAAGTAACTGTGCAGATTACAAACTGTTTTATTTTCCATCAAGCAATAATCTTCCAGCATGTGGTGCCTGTGTTAATACAGTGCTAACTTGAAACATAAGCTGCATTATCTAACTTCTGTTAAATGTGAAATCCGGTTAAATACTCTTCTGAGTTGCTTTATCAGGGCAGTGCACAGATGTGGATTAACTGGCTACCTATTGCACCACAGCTGCCAGTTCCCAGTAAGCGCTGCCTAGAGCAAATACTGCAAGTCAGCAGCACCTGTGAGGACGGTCTCCTTCTCTAGTTCAGAGTTTCTGCCATGTGTGGACTACTGAGGCAGACAAGAACACATCCCAGAACAGGCCCCAGCACGTCAGCAGTACTGGGGCTTTGTCAGTTGTTCAATTCTGCTAAATGCTATCAGTTTTTTTTTATTTTGCAATGAGAAGTGTCAAGGAAGAAAACCAAGTCTGTGGTGCTCCTACTCTGGCCAGTTGGTTGAGTGAGTTGGAGAGACTGGAAGGGAAGGCTGTTTTGTGGAACTTCATTTTGAGTCCTAATGAGGAATAACAATGATAAGCTAGAGACAAAAGCTATTCCTGACTTGGCTCTGCCATTTAGAGCATTTTATCAGCTCCCAGGAAGTCATGCATCTTTGTGTGTACCTGTTTTTGTCTTAATGTGTCAGTAACTGCAAAGAGCTTAGCAGAAGTGGTACCTTGACCTCCATAGCGTTGAAGTTGAACAGGGAACAAAAGTGGCTTTAAGCACTTCTCAGACAAGCCTCCTATGCCACACCGACTTTGGGGAGGTGAAAGCCTTCCCCACCGTTCCTGTTTATAAACTGAGTTTTACTAAAGCAGTGAATTGTGTCAGTTGGGTGGCCAGGCCCACTAGACAGTAGCCAGTTCAATATCCAACTGCTGGATGGTTCCCACGCTGTTCAGTATTTTCAATAATGACCTGAATGGTGAAGAACAGTGCAACTCCCAGCAAATCTGCAGATGACCCAACCTATGAGAGAGTGGCTGAAATGACAAACAGCAGAGCTCCAATTCAGGAAGATCTTGAGAAGCCTGAGGACTGGAAAACAGAAACCTTGTGCAGTCCAGTAAGAAGAAATGCACAGTCCTGCATGGGATACAGGATAACTGCATGTACCATCAGATCAACATCTATGAATGTATGATGAAGCGTGAGCATAACAGACTTTTATATGCCAGGGATTGCCAAATCCAGTAATCCAGCAGAGGTAAGGTTGTCACAGCTCCACAGCCTCAGGTCCAACCAGTAGCAGCACTGAGTTCGTGTTCCTGGTAAGCACATGCACAAACAGCCAACTGCAGTACATACATATACACATAGCTGGCCAAGTTAGACATCATAAACATGCACACTCAGCTCACCTGCAAACACAAACAGCACCAACAGCCTCATCTTACTCCCCCATTTTGGTTGATCAGGATGAAGGTCGTCTGTTAGTAGGAAATATAGAATCATAGAATCACTCAGGATGGAAAAGACCTTAAATATCATCGAGTCCAACCACAACTTAACCATACTACCATAACTCTAACAACTCTCCACTAAATCATGCATATATATGCAGTATATACATTCCTATGTACAAGATGGGTCCCCACAGCAGCTGGACCCAAGCACTCAGCCTGCCCAGTGGCTGCCTTTGGATTCCACTCTCCCTAACTGCTGGCACCTATGTACCAGCAGCTGAGTTCACGTCCCTTGCTCACAGTCACCCACACACAGATATACTATGAACTCCCCATTAACTGTGCTTAGACATAGGTGGCGTTAAACACAATAGCCATCCATAGATTCATGTTCTCCCCAGCAGCTGCTAACTGGGTGTACAAAAGAGGCCTGCAGTTCTACCCCAGCTGCAGGGATATTCTTTGCTCAGA